CTGAACTTTTTGTTGCGATTCCAATGAGGGTGTGTATATTTACGAGTACATATGATTCTATTGTTTTATAATGCAGAGATTTGTTGGGAATTCTGTTCAGCTTCAGAAACTAGTTGTGAGAAAGTAATGAATAGCTGAATTTTAAAGCACACTACATATACATTATGAAATCCACTAGTATTTGCTGTTTACCAAAGTAACAGTATAGAATCGTAGAGCTCACTTCTACAGTGTGTAATTTTATAGGAGCCCTAACCAACAAATACTATTGTATTATAATACAAATGTTAAATTTCTTACCCTAATTGTCGTACTTACAATTAGACAAGTTTGTAGGTTATTCCTATGCATTTCGTATTTGGTGTGTATGCCAACTGCTGGGCAACGATTCGATAAACACACTCCCGCGAAAGAAAACGTGCCAAACAGAAGAACGTCCATTGCTAGGTAACGGAGCAGTCAACACTCCTCCTCAACAATATAGGCTGTTTCCTGTGTGGTCCATGCAAAGTGGTTACAAAGAAGTGTTTAGCAGTATAGAGCAGTAGTCGAGAGTGGAGACTCGAGCTTCGAGACGCCAGCCTGCCAGGACATGAGCTTTGGAGCAGAGGAATTGAATTGACTCGAGTCTTCGGAATTGGCAGCTGCAGAAGAAGGGCAAGAAAGGAATTACGCTGTGAAAAGAAGACTTCATATGCGATTTGAAGTGACAGTGCGACTGTGAAATACCGTTGCCAAGANTGTGTAACGGTGAACTGGAAAGTGTGCAGAATAGCGATAGCGCTGTATTGCCTGTAGTCCCGAGTTGTGGGAAGGTATGAGGTGCAATAANGTCGAGTCTTCGGAATTGGCAGCTGCAGAAGAAGGGCAAGAAAGGAATTACGCTGTGAAAAGAAGACTTCATATGCGATTTGAAGTGACAGTGCGACTGTGAAATACCGTTGCCAAGATACGACTAGTGAAAATTGAGAACCCTAGTAACTGTGTAACAGTGAACTGTAAAGTGCTTAGAATAGCGATAGCGCTGTATTGCCTGTAGTCCCGAGACGTGAGAATGTATGAAGTGCAATAGATCCATTCAACAATCCTAACTCCGTCAATTATCGCTAATAAACACAACAGTTTAATTAAATTGTTTATAAACACTGTCACATAAATGTAATTTTGTTTCCGTGCTTAATTTATTAAGTACTATGCCATACAGACATATGGGGGAATGGAGGTATGGCTCCATAATTCTTGATCTCAGCACTAGATGCAGATGAGTCGTTGACTGCACGCCCCAACCGCTTTACCCCCAGGGAAAGAGCCCGCGGGAACCATAGGATAGAAGGCAGGGTGGGCGCCAGTACCGGTCTGGACGATATCTCTTGCCCAATCTGGGAATTGAAACCTGGGCCTCCATCCCGTAGTTTGTCGCTGAACCAACTGAGGTATATATTATTTAAAAATCCGATTCATTCTACCATATTAAAGAAACGGTAGCCCAGACACCGGTTTCGTTTTCATGAAAATTATCTTCAAATGGCCTCTTGATTTCGAAAGCAACAAAATGGGCACTCATTTCGCTTGTGAGACAGCTCCGTAAGTCATTCAGTCACATGGCGACGCAACATCTTTCGCAAGAAACATCAGTGCGTTGGCAATGAAATCTGGATGCAGACCATTTACATGTATTTACCTACAAAAGTCGGGTCACCGCGCGATTCCCACACGAGACCAGTTTTGTAGCATCGGGAGAAAAAGTGGGAGTACAATGGGACAGTATAACAGCGATTGGTAGACTTCAAAAGAACCTATAATTCAGTTATGAGGGTAGTATTGTACCATATTCTCATGGAGTTTCGGGTATCCATGAAACTAGGTAAAAAGGTAAAATTATCCCTGTAACAGACCGTGAAGCTCTATAGGGTTGTGGAACGTCGAGGTTCCCGCAACTTCTAGACAATCTTCTCACAAATGGCGAAGTTTGCAGCCTCACACGACGGCCGCCCTGTACCCCAGGAAGATTTCTTGTATTCATTTCTGTTAGAGGCTCAGTTGACTCCAGGGCCATAGTGCTGTTGGAAGGATTAGGGCAATTGAACTTGACTGGGAAACGAACCCGCGACTACCGCCTTGTAGCGTAGTGCCTCAACAAAATACGCTACCGTGTGCCCCCTGAAAGTAGGCTGGTTAAAACACGTTTAAACGAAACATATAGTAAAGTTCGTGTAGGTAAATATTTGTCTGATAACATTCCTATTCAAAATGTTCGAAAACAAGGAGATGGTTTATCGTCACTGCTTTTCAATTTTGGTTTAGACTATGCCATGAGGAAGGTTCAGGAAAACGAAGTGGAACTGAAATTAAATGGGACACATCAGCTACACGTCGTCTATGCTACAATACTGGGAGATAATACGGAGACCATACAGATAAACACACAAACTATAATTGACGCTTGTAAGGAGGCTCGTCTAGAAGAAAAACTAAGTATATGTTGCTGTGTCTTTACCAGAATTCAGGGCCAAATCAGGACATACAGGCAGGTAACAGATGTTTTGAAAATGTGCCAAAGTCCAGATATTTGAGAACTACTATAAGAAATCAGAACCTCATTCAAGAGGAAATTAAGAGCAGATTGAATTCAAGTAATGCTTGCTACCATTCAGTCCAGAACTTTTCGTCTGCTCGTCTGCTGTCTGAAAACATAAAAATCAGAATATACACAATTCTAATTTTGAATGTCGTTCTTATGGGCGTGAAATTTTGTCTCTGATATTAACGGAGGAACACAGACTAGGGTGTTTGAGAATAGGGTAATGAGAATATTTGGACCGAAGAGAAATGAAGTGAATGGACGTTTGAGAAAACTACATAATGAGGAGCTTCATAACTTGTTGTACTTCGTCATGTATAATTAGATGTAGGTGAATGGGTAATACTAAAATGGTTCTTAGAGAGATGGGATGGGGTGGTATGGGCTGGACTGATCTGGCTCTCCTTGCTATTTCGTCTTCAAGCACCCTGTAACCTCGGAACAAAAAATAATTAAGGACTCACTCCTTAAGTTTACAACTGATTCGTAACTGCCCCTGAACTAAATGTGTCATTGCATTCACTTCCCTTACAAGCACTGTGCACAGACCCTAAGGAAAACACAGTCTCTATTGTTAATGACGTCACTGCTTATGCTGAAGTGTGCTTACCGAGCCGTTGTTTAGAAACGGGTTTCATAACCCAGTTGTTCCAATGCTGCTCGGCACGGACGACATCGAAAACACATCATCTATTGTTGCATGTTGGAACGTGTTTAGAGAGCTGTTGCCTGGCACGCGTTGATCAAATCCGTTACATCATATTCCTGGGAAACGTAGGTGGACTTTTACCGAACTACACCACGTTAAAAAAAAAAGACAATATTCTTCAATAAAAGGAAGCTTTGGACCGTCTCTGTGGTCTAGTGGTCAGAGTTCCGGAGGTCCCGGGTTCGATTCCTGGCGCTACCAGATTTTCTCAGAAGTAGTGTGTCTGAAACGGGGTCCACTCAGCGTCGTGAGGATAACTGAGGAGCTATTTCAAGGAAATAGCGACCCAGGTCCAGAAAATTGAGATTAACGGCCGTGGGTTTCCGTTGCGCTGACCACGCGACATTCTCTATCCGCGAAAGTTGGCACTAACTTTACCGAAAAGCGGAGGTCGCTCGGTCAGTATAATTCGCTTGCGGACTACATGCCACGGAGTTTTTTTTATAAGGAAGCTTTGAGAATTAAGTAAACAAAACTAGCCTCTATGCAAATATAGGGTAAAATTGTCCCTATGTTTAACTAATTAAGCACTACGCCCTGAAGGCATAGATGGATGTATAGATCCATATTATCTTGATTTCGACATTAGTAGGAGGTGATCGGTCAGCTTCAAACCCCGGCCGCTTTAGCCCCGGGGAAAGAACCCCCGGTACCATTGGATAAGAGACTGGGTGGGCCACTGAGCAGATTTCGACAACGTGGAGAAAATTCTTGACCCTACCGGGACTCGAACTCTGACCCCTCAGTCGTCCATCCCGTAGCCAGTCGCTATAACTACTCCACTATATCGGCGCCCTTTAATGCAAATATATAGGGAATATTTATAATGTTACATTGCAGCATCCTGTTGCACTACATTTCTGACACGCCGTCTATGTGAAACTTCAGTTATTGTTCAATCGTCATTTCCTTCATTTACACTATAAGTTTAGGCCTAACCGGCCATCTTCAGGTGTAAAGGTTGTTGTGATTACAGAATCTGTTGCTCACTGTAAAGCTTCTTTGTTTCTCCTATGTGGTTGCCTCGGATTACTTATGGTTAAATGGGTTAACCAACTGTTTTAGATTTTGACGTCCTTGAGCTGCACTTATTTAACTTATGGTTTTCTTTGGTTTGCTGATTGTGGTTCTTGAGTGCTCTTGTTGGGGCGAGAGTGTTTTTTGTTTAGTCCGCCATCACTCAAGACAGCCACAGCAAACAAATCAAAGAAACCCATAAGACAAACACATAAAACTCAAGGTCACCAAAATTAAAACAGATGGTTAACCCATTTAACCAGAACTAATCTCAGGCGACCACATTTTTTTTATTTCTCTGAGAATTTACAATCTACTCACTACAGTAAGGAGCAATAAGTAAATTGGTTAAAAGTAGGAGCGTGAGTAGAGAATCAACCAGCGTCGATGCTCTTAAACACAATTGATGCTAGAATTTATTGCTTAACCTAATGAGGCGACCACATAAGAGAAAAAAAGGAGCTTTACAGTGAGCAGCAGATTCTGAAATCACAACAACCTTTACACCTGAAGATGGCCGGTTAGGCCTAAACTTGTAGTCTAAATGAAGGAAATCGACGAGTGAGTAGTTACCGAAGTTGCACATAGAGGGCATAAAAGCAAAACGCAAAGTTAGATAGACGGAACACGATTGCTTGAATCTTATAATTTGAAACCTATTGGTAGGATTTTAGTCAAATTCCCTCCCTCTTTTCAAGCGAACGAATACGTGCCCATTCTCACGAAGGGATGGTACTTTCTTGGAGACATTAACGGTACACTACTGTAAGAGTAGATGGCTTAGAGTACGTGCACGAAGGGCCAGAGCGGTCAGAGCTGTCAGTATCTGTAGCGGGTTGATAGTGAGGCGTGTAATGTCCGAGGTTCAGTACAACATCCAAGGTAAGGCAACCTCATATTTTGCTGTAACATGTGCAATTGCTTCCATTCCGATATTAGTCTGGTTGTTTTCTTTGTATAGGCATGCATTTCGTATTAGTTATAGAATAATTCATCTTCGCGGAGATCACGAGACGCAGGAGTGCTTGTGAGGTCCTTAAAAAATAAAATCATGCCAAATTTAATTAATCTATTAAATGTTTTTACTAACCTATTGATTTAGGCCCCGCCATAGATCAAGCGGTTATTCGGCGGCTTCTGACCTCAGCGGCCGGGGTTNGTTCGCGGTGATCATGAGAAGCAGGAGTGCTTGTGAGGTCCTTAAAAAATAAAATTGACAATTATACCAAATTAAATTAATTTATAATACGTTTTAGCCAACCTGTCGATTTTATGGGAATGCTTTCATAGTACCACTAACACAGTTAAGAATTTTAACTACAGCTTCTAAAATCAAAATTATTACAAATTTTGCCTCTTCAACTGTGCTGGAATTGTGGATTTTATTTAAAATAAATCATTCTGTTAAGTAACGGACAGACATATCTCGAAAAATAGAATAATATTTGTAGTTTTTAAAAACGTTCTATCTTTCGGAGATTGCACTCTCTGGTCTGTAGAAAGTGAACATACTTTTCGATGGAAAATGTCCCCATCCTCAGGTTCGAAGAATAAACTGTGAGATGGAGGCGAAATGCTCTGCCGAAGCGTTATGTTTCAAGAGTAATAACTCGTCATAACCATGTTGTAATAACCCTAAAACTTATATTTCTCCTTTGTTTAAATATCTGTATAATTGAGCGCCTAAATTATTTCGTAATTGTTTCAAGTATTACATAAATCCAAGCTTTTCTTTCTGAATTTTGTTTAGGCAAAATACGAATCTGTAAAAAATCAGACCTATTGCTCATTGAAATATTACAACTTAAGGCGTTTCAACAAACAGACTGTTGTCTGGAGACAATGGAGACAATGGTCTCCACGCCAAACTATATATTTTTAATGATTCTGATAGTAAAATTAGCGTTTTTTTCTTCAGACTGGTAAAATTTTGCAAAAGGTTCGAATGAGAAATCAGTAATTCGTAAAACGAGAAGTTAGAAATGATTCACTTGGGCCCGTTTTCAGACTTCACCCTTGGGTTGCGAGTAAGAAGAAATATGGCAACAAGTGTCCAGGCAGTGGTTGCTTCTGTTTCGTGGAAATGAAGGAAGTGGCCCTTATGTCTCACTCATAACTAGCCTTATCCTGCATAATGAATTCGACCAAGTTCACAACGTATTCTGTTGTAAACGGCCAGATATAGACGCGGACAGTTGTCAGTGGAAATTTATATATCAAATTGCAGTTAAATTTGTTAAATTTTCTACAAGTTTTTTCCTACAGTAAAGTATTTTAAATGAACTTTTGCACGGAAGATTGATATAATAAATATTATTATGCTTTTAATACATAATAAGATAAATTCAGTACAGGTTTGTAAACACAATCATATCTTTTTCTTTTAACTATTAAAATTTGCCATTAGTTAGTGAAACTCGGGAATAAGAAGAAAAGAATTCGTATACGTATATCTGTTACAATCTGTTGGGCTAATTCCGTCGCCAAGTAATAAATATATTCCTGTTGGGCGTGCCGTGTCGAGGCTTAGAGAACGCACCGGAGACATGAGAACTTCATTTAAATTTAACTTGAAATCCTGGAAGATAAGAAACCTTGGCAGAAGAGTACGTGTGGAAGAGAGGATACTAAAGAGGTCTTAAAAAATGTAACGTAATTTTACATGTGTGGACTGCATTCAGCTGGCTCGATTTAGAATATTTGAGAGTTGTTAATACAGAAGGAGCGACTGTGAAACGACTTGTTCAACATTTTGCGTTATAGTTTTTATAATGTTAGTGGGGTGAGACTAAGTCCCTTGTACTGCGGCCACTCCTGGCTTATTGTTCCAGCCTCAGATGATAGGTGAGGGTGACTGTGAAGTAGTTGGTGGAATGAAGATTGGCAGAGGAACCGAAGTACTCGGAGAAAACCTGCCCCAGCGCCACTTAGTCCACCACAAATCCCACTTGACTAGACCCGGGATCGAATCCGGGCCGCGCGGTGGGAAGCCAGCGACTAACCGCTTGAGCTACGGCGCGGCTCTGCGTTATAGTTACTTGAATTGTAATTACGGCGTTAAATAATAAAATGACGTCACAAGAATACACTCTTCGAGGTCTTGTTTCACGACAAAGGGAAACAAAGATAAGGGAGGACTTTGGCATAAACAAAAATACTTGTATATGGGATTTATTGTCATATTGCTGTGAGTCTTCGGACTGAATTCCAGTCCCATCACATCAGAAACACTACAGGCCAAGAGAAAACCTGACTATGTAGACACTCTGTATATTAGAAGGTGATAGTTTCTTGTGGTTGCTCTATGTACCACTTGCCTTAACGCTCTGCAGCCCTGCCGTGTGTTTACAGATTGCCAGAATAAGCTCCGAACAGTATTAACCGGCAGGCATTTGCAATGGCGATGCTGTGTGACTTCTAGGAAGAAATTGAATTCAAATAGTATTTAGATGAAATTTAAACTTCAAAGAACTAATTGGCCAATTATAACTTTTTTGCCTTAAATTATTGTTTTGCGACGGTAACAGTAAATTAGATGGTCAAGAAATTCCTTGGTTTTTATGAAAATTTAATTTTAACTATAAAGTTCTCAACAGCGTCCCACTGGTTCCTATCCTAGGCCACATCAAGCCAGTACACACATATCCTATAATTCTAAGATCTATTTTAATATTGTACTCCCATCTTGTCCTCGGTCTTCCAGATGACCTATTTCTTAGCTCCCTAGCGCTTGTAAATTTTTCCAAATAAGGGCACGGAAGTGCTTTCTTCTTCTTTAAGAACTCTAATTAGGTTTCTCAGACATAAACCATGCGTAGGCAAGTTGAGTTGAAGCTAGACAGGATTTTATGTGTCTTTCACAACGAAACATTAGAACTAAAATTTGAGTAAATCTCAAACCCTGTTGTCTGGATCGAGGCTGTCTTAATACGTATGAGTTTTATAGTTCTACAATAATTTAGAATCACAGTACCCTTGGAGTTATGTATCTGATCTACAGATGAGGTTTCCGGAGGGACTTGTTAAATACCCTGTCAGTTGTTTATCGGATCGTAGAGTACGAGGAAAGCAGTCTAAATTAGACGCCAATCAGGAGACTGTTCTAGAAGTAAATACAGGTAAAACAAATAATAGTGCCGGGGTCAATAGTCGTGGAGCTATACCTGCAATCGTCCACATGTCTTCATGGCATAGTGCTTGATTAAGTAAGAAAATAATGACTTTTTAAAGCTTATTTTAAATATACTATATTTTGTAATATAAAAATGTTTGCAATTTGTACATCACGAAAATTAAGGTTACAAGGCCTGCTGGACCGACGGGGACAGGAGTTGACTTGTAGTGCTGATGTCGGCAACAAATTCGAACAAAAATCCTCCAACGGTTTCAGAGAATATACAGACGGATGACAGACATGGATGGAGACACAACCTGTACGAAAATTATGCAAAGAGCCTCTGTGTATGACGTCGACCCACCGTTATTGCCATACAGATAGACGTTGACAGCTCAAATTCTAAAATTTATTTTAAGATGTTTCATCATTTTTTAGAAAAAGCGTTACACTTTCTAGGTTTATACTTAGGCTTATGACACTCTCACCACCGGCCAGTCTGGTACGGATAAGCTGCCATTACAACATTGAGCTAGAGTTGTGACCTGAACATATCCGATACATATATTATTTCGATATTCAGGCCGAAGTATCTTCTCGGAAGTAAAATTGTGTAGTCAGTATACGATCACAGACGTTCGAGAGGAAAGCAATGCCTCCTTCATCACGTTCTAAGATGCTAAGCCAGAAAGAATAAGATGCTAGCAGCAAGTTGAGATTGTCATCGCTGTGAGAACCTCAGATTAAAATTCGCAGTTCTACTCCATCTGTTATGGGGACGAGGGGGTAACATAATCAGTTAGTGACGTAGACCTGTACGTCATCATTATAATTTTAATTTCATTCTTCCATCAATGGCCCTATAGCCCTTTCTTGGGCCTTGTCGTCTTCAGTTTCGTACTTTTTTTTTACACAGACGGTAGGACACCTTGGATGAAAAATCAGCTCGTCGCAAGGTCGCTACCTACACACAGGAAAACACAAACAGAATAAACGCACACACAGACATTTATATCTTGAGTGGGATTCGAATTCACGATCTCAACGTCCTAGTGAGCGAAGACAGTTCAGTTACCGCGCCCTCACTGCGATGGGTCATTATAAATTTACTAGATTCTATGTACTTTCAACATGCTTTCAGTTATCATACGCCAATAGGAAATTCAGACACAATTACTAAGGAATTTTCTTCCATAAAGTTGCCTACAAAAGTTATGAGGTATCTTCGTTCGTAGAGCATATGAACTTTACTTGTTCTTATTTTTGGTACATTCCCAACAAAAGGTTGCAAAATGGCATATTAAGCAAAATGTTAAATATTTTGTATATAAAAAAAAGGTGTTGAGAGTTATTTCTATATAAATTGCCAAGTAAAATCCACAGAATATGTTCTCTTGCTTTAAATTAACTGGAGCTCTAATCGGATATCGAGTGGATCAGAAAATCTTTCACTTTCAACTACTATGGTGATATTGCCAATACACTCCGTCCTTGCAAGCTTGTAGTTGTACACTAACACTGTCCTGTAAGTGCATGTCCCATCAATTATAAATCTGTTGTATCGTGCAGGACCCGCACTGGAAGAACACCTCCCTGAAGAGGCAGGTGACGCAGAAAACATCATCGGAGGCAGGCCCGCTACGCCACAGTCTAACAGTGAATCCAGTGACTCCTACTCCGACGACATCTCTACGGAGACTACGACTGAAGGTACGGCCACAGACAGCGAAGAAGAGAATTCCAGCACCGGTGAGACAGGATCGGACAGATCCTCCAAGGCGGACGAACCGGTGTTTGAATGTTCGAAGGAACAGGAGGCTGCGGTAAGAAAGAACCTCGAAAAGCTTAAACTCGATGAATATGACGGTTATATCTTCGGTGTAAGGAACATAAATTATTAAGGAGGAAAACACGACAAATTGGGTAATAAGGATAAAGGTTACAAAAGAAAGAGAAGATCGTGGAGCGAGAAAAATGGAAATGTAGATGCGTAAACACAAGAAAATGAAGGAAGTGTGACGGAACTACCAGTAGAGAACTCAGGGGCAATGACCTACGGGCGATTCAAACTGCATGAAGCAATAACATCCCCATGGTACGAAGGTGATATGTTGTTGTGGAAAAGTGAGACTGCATTCCACCGTGTTTATGTTCAAAATAGAGTGGCGATAACACAGGGTTACCAGCAGTTTGGAGGAGCAGCGCGTCGATACGAGGAATATGCAGCAACAGCATGTCATGGGTCCGAGGAACTTGGAGCAAGAGCAATATATTGCGCCAACAGCACGCGGATCAAAGCAGCGCGAAACAACATCTCAGAAAGGCGAGAATGGTGTAAAAATAGCATCCGCGGAACACGATCAAACTGGAGAAATAGTATCTCTGGGATGCGAACAGCATGAATACGTATCAACTGGCGAATACGAACGATATGGAGCAGATGACGTTCACACTGATCAAGGAGTGGCGGAATTACAGGGCAAGGAGCTTTCAAGGAAAGGAGGCAATGCAAGGGAAGCTGTCCAAATATGAGGAAATAGTAGGGGAAGAAGAAAGAGCAACAACAAACTATCAGAAATCAAAGGGAAAGATAATCTGGATAAAAAGAAATAAGACGAAAAGAAGGGAAAGTGAAGAAATGAAGAAAATCAACGGTAAAACCACCAGAATATGAAGAATAAAATGATGATAAAGTTGTGATTAATTATATTTCTCCCTCCAGCCCTGCTTTGCCCTCTGTGGACCTACACCCATACCCGATCTATGAGGGGCACTCAAACAAATCAAGAGAGACAAACGCGGAATGTTCTCAGTAATCACGTTTCGGCTCTATCCAATCATCCGAACTTGAAACCATCATTTTCGTTACGCGAACCCCCCCCCCACACGTGACAATATTAAATACTTGGTATAGAAAATTTCTGAGGAAGGAATGTGGAAGAAGTGTGAAGAATCAGAACTGGACAAGAAATAAAAGGATTATATAAAACTCCTGATCTGATATTGGGTATTAAAGCGTTTGGGACATGTAATTAGAAAGGATCAAAAATTTTCGAAAAAAATGTTTCAAAGTAGACGAGGAAGTAGAAGGAACCTGACAAGGTCCAAGTTGAAATGACAAGAAGAGGAGCGAATGATCTGCTTTATATAAAAATGGTGATATGAAGACAAAGGTTAAAAGAATGTGCATTTGGTTTGAATGGAGGTCAGGCTTTTTTAACCAGACATACAAAGCAAAAATTGACCAATATTTAGGTACTCTTCATGACAACAAAATATAAAACAACTTTCGAAGATCACATTTCTAGCAGTCCTTGTGTCCCAGTAAGTTATGTTTTGTTTTCGTATACTGTGATGAAATCCGATTTATTTTCAGGAATTTAAATTTTACGAGCAATTCAAAATTTCTTGGAATTTTGTTGGAAGTTGCATTTAAAAATAATTTCTTACGGTGACACATATATATATATATATGCCTGTATGTTTTTATGCCCAGTCTCACTACGGAAGTTTTGTCATATTATTGTGATCTCTCTCGCATCTGCTTAGTTCGATGAGCGTTATAAAATCAATGTCAGAATGAAATTAAATGATAACTCAAGTTGTTATATAGGTTTAAAATTCTTTGTTATAGACGAAAATATTTACAAAATAAATCATATTTTTATTTTTAAGTCTATCCCAAACCGGTTGCTTTTTATTTTTTAGATTTTGTTTTATACGTTTGCCTCTATTCTGCTTCCTTCACATATTATACAACAGTAATTTCAGGAGAGATTATTCCTCATGTCGATATGTTGATTTCAAAGGCGATGAATTAACCAAATGCGTAACATTATTTCCATCGCATTATTTTTTTCCCCCTGGCACTACAGCCCCAGTGGGCCTAGACCTACCTCCATGAACTCCGTTCACTTCGGTATCGCATTATTAGTCACTATTAATATTCCTTAGCCTCAGTTATTAGGGAGTTGGTACAGCGACGAGCAATGGACTGGACGTACCGGGTTCGATTCCCGGCATTGCACAATTTTCTCTTCTTCATAGCGTTCTGACTTACTCTGGGGTTCGTTCCCAAGGGATAAAACGGCAAGCGTGTGAAGCTGATCACTCAACTCTATCTAGTGTGTGAACAAAATTGGAGCTATCCCTCCACTCCCCCATAAGTCTTCGTGGCATAGTGCTTAACTAACTAGTCACAGGGACAATTTTTACTTTTTTTTTTGTGACTGTTAATGTGTTAATCTACTGCTCCAAACTTCAACACTGATGTTTTCTAACAGAATTGGTAACACACAATTTTGTATTCTAGTTTACTGGTAACAAAGCAATAACAAAAAGAGATAAACACAAAGGGACTGCAAATGTCCAAAAATTAATTTGGGTGAGCTTGTATCAGCGAGAAAATGTAAACACATCAGTATTGGTGATCTATTCATATGTTTCATAATAATCTTTCAGACATTAATAATATACGAGGTTCGAGACATACTGGATCTGCCTGGTAACATCCGCAATTGGTCAGGCTTCGTTACCCCAACTGGACTGCAATTAAACAATCTGGCGATGTTCAGCGAAAACCGTTCCCAGTACCACCGTCTCAGCATGTACGGAGATTCCGACGAACCCCACCACTTGGTATGTATTATCTACCATAGCTCCCGAAACCATACCTCATTTACCATAACAAAAGGCGTTCTCTGGAGTTATCGATTTAGAACATCACTCTTACAGCCAGACAATAATTTTCAGTGAGTATCCCACAAAAATGTACCTGATTTCCAACTGCTTTTGATTTATCTTTATGATGCTTTTGTTAACGCGTGTGTCTCGCCATGTATTTCCTTATTCTTACGGGTCCAACAACAAGGACATCGACGCTCTCCCCCTTATTGTAAACAATCGGGTTACAGCGCTGCGGTAGTGAAACTTTCGCGCCGGCCGAACTTCACCCTTTGCCCCAGGAAGATTCTCGCGCCGGCCGAACTTCACCCTTTGCCCCAGGAAGATTCCTGGTACTCATGTCTGTCAGAGTCTGAGTATACCTCGGGGTCATAGTGCGGCTGGAAGTATTAAGTCATTTTAAAAATTCAATGATCTACTCAGGAATAGAACCCGCGACCTTCCGGCTTGCAGCATAGTGCTTCAACCAACTGCGTTAACACGTGCCCCTCCCCTTAAAATGACAGACAGAAGATGGATCTTAATGATATAGATGCTACTGTTTGGAGGTGTCCAATCAGGTGTTCTGATATTAGCAGTTTTGGATTTCCGGATGCCCCATCAAAATACTGGTGATTAGTTACGTGTCTTAAACGTAAATATGTAGGCTACACAACTGAGAGTGCGCATGCACCAACACCCACACATATACAAAATGGATATCACGTTACTTAGAATTTTCGATGACCACCACCACCACCACCACCACCACCACCACAACAACAACAATAATAATAAAAGCACGTGTACTTGTTAACAAGATCGGCCCATATGCTTAATTTAATCATTCAAAATCTAATGCTTTCAGTGTGATACTGACCCCACTAACAAATCATCCTTCGTCCTCCGTGGACTAAAATATTAGATCAGCCCTGCTTTCGAAAGAAGGCAGAAGAGTATGATAATCTAATGGAATAAACTAATAAATGCATTTAATTCTTTTTTTTTCAGTCGGAATGCGAAAACTGTGGCTTCATTACCCCGGTTTTTGATTAAGGACATCGCAGTTCCTCGAAAAAAAAAAAA